AGTTTTGTGGATTGGTTTCTGTGTCCTCTATTCTGTACCATTGGTCCACCCGCCTGTTTTGGTACCAGTACCATGCTGTTTTTGTTACTATTGCTCTGTAGTATAGTTTGAGGTCTGGTATTGATATACCGCCTGATTCACACTTCCTGCTTAGCATTGTTTTTGCTATTCTGGGTCTTTTATTTTTCCATATGAATTTCATAATTGCTTTATCTATTTCTACAAGAAATGCCTTTAGATTTTGATTGGCACTGCATTAAACCTATAGAGAACCACTTTTTACAGGGTTGACCAATGGAGAGCTCAAACTTCTTTTACTCTCTCATCTTTCTGGTATGCATTTAAAGATCATGTTTCTAGATTCTGCCACGAGAATGATTCTGGTAAGAAATGCTGCCAGAAGTCCAACTACAGCTTACTAACAGGGAGTGTCCACCAGCAACTTAATGAGAAAACAGTAGAATCTACCCAGACCAGCAGAACTGAGGGGCTGCATCCACTAGACCAGGCATTCCTAGTTCTGCAGAAGATTTCTCTATATAATAGGCTTTGCATGTAACCTCTGGAAAGCCGGCTGTTGGGGCTGAGATTGCCTAATCTAGCTGTGGTCTGGAGTGAGCAGGCAGCCCAGGTTTGGGCCACTGAGACCTGGAATTCTCTATTTCATTGATATAGAGTCTTCCTGTTCTAATATATTCTGGATGAACACAGAAATATTGTATCGAGTGGTAAAGAAAAAAATTTGCTTTGCTAATGCATCAGCAGATCTTATTAGTTCTAATCTTAAATTTAAAAATTCTCATTGTACCTACTATCACTGTGCTGCTCCAAGCTGCCTTCAGATCTTCCCTGATATATTGTGGTGCCCTCCTGGCTGATCTCTCGTTTCTTATCTGGCCTTGCTTCAATCTGGTCTCATGCCAGAAGCCAGAGTGATTCTGTTGGGAAACAGGGATGGTCATATTACCCTTCTGCCTACAATCTCCAGTAGACTTCTCATCTCACTTCAATAGAATGAAAATATTCCAATTCTCCTTCTACCTTTGCAGCACTGTCCCCTAATCCTCTGTTCATACCACTTTCACCTGCTTCTATTCTGGATACTGTGGCATCTTGCTCTAGGTTCTTGCCCAGCTGCTTCTTCTGTCTTGATTGCTTTTCTTGCAGTGCAACTCATCAACACAGCTTCCTCCCTTCTCTCATGCTTATGTTCAAACTCCAGTTCCTAAGCAGCCCATACTCCATGACCTCATTGTCCATCTCTTTTCCCTGATTTACTTTTCTCCTTTTTGCTTCTACGATTTACATATTTTACTTATTGGTCTGTTTCCTCCATGACTGTAAAATGTGAGCTCCATGAAGGTAGGCATCTTTTGTGCCTTGTTGACTCCTGTATCACCGAGTCTTGGAATAGAGAATGACACATAGTAGGTACTCAAAAAGTATTTGTTGGATGAATGAATGGCAGCCATGCCTCAGAGAATCACTCGCTACGGCCAGGAGATTGGGGGAAAGCTTCATGATCTGTGGTGACTGTTTCTGTATTGTTGTATCACTTTTTGGACAGGTGCTTTAAGTAAATGGCATCCTTGATTTCTAGTTGATGTGAGATGCTCACTGTCAGAACTATCACTACACTCATAGACCAAAGAAACCCTGGCCTCCAGAACTAAATTGCTTGGGAAAACACAGGAACGATAGGTTCTATAAGGGTGATGTAGATCCCTGTGAATGTTGCCAATATTTTTCCAGCTTTCTCTCAGCTTCTATTAGTAGTTTTGTTCTAAACAAAGTGGGTTGAAACAGTAGAAATTTACTGTGTCATTGTCCTGGAGGCTAGAAGTCTAAAGTCAAGGCATTGACAGGGTCATGCACTTTCTGAAGGGAGAATTCTTTCCTGTTCTCGAAACTCTTCTAGTTTCTGTTATTTGCTGGCAACCTTTGGCTAATAGAGGCATCGCCTCCAGTCACATCTCTTCTAGGTGGAAGAAACATCTTCTGGAAGCTCATAGGCTCACATTTCATAGTTATAACATTAGAGGAGGACAGATAAAAGTTTTTCTATAGTCTCAGGTTGAAAGACTGAGGAGGAGGGGTGATAGTTGGCTTTATTTGACTCGGGCATCCATCTCTGAACTAATTGGTTTCATTGATGGGGTGGAGCATGAGAAAAATTGGCTGTGGTTGGGTGGGTGAAGAGGAGAAAACAATAGATGTTGACTAATTAATGACTTTCTGAGTAAAATTTTACATTTAACCATATACTAATCCAGAAATATATGTGTCAGGCATCATGCATTAAAATAATTTGTCTTTTAGGGCACTTCATATCACAACTCTGAGACAAGGTACTAAGCTTGCATTCTCAGTTGCTTGTGGCTGACATCATTGCTTCATTTTGTATTAGCCAACCTGTTCAAGTGGACAGTTACTAACAGTAACAAGAAGTAAGGTTTCTTGAAATCTCATAAGAGCAAGTGCTTAAACTTGTATAAAACTTGGTTAATCCTCAAAACTGCGCTGGGAGGCATATAATGTTAGCTTCCTTTTATAGAAGAGAAAATCAAGTCACACAGACATTAAATGACTTACCCAAGATTACACAGCCTGGAAGATGCAGAGTTGGGGTTTGAATCCAGCAGTCTAGCCATCAAGCTGTACTCTTACCTTCCTCACAAACCTACCCCACTTAGGATCTGAGAGTTAAAACCTGGCCTACTCCAAGTTTCATGCTGAATAATACAGTCATTTATCTCTTTTTGGAGGGGTTTAGGGGGGATTGAACTCAGGGGCACATGACCATTGAGCCACATCCCCAGTTCTATTTTGTATTTTATTTAGAGACAGGGTTTCACTGAGTTACTTAGCACCTCACTTTTTGCTGAGGCTGGCTTTGAACTCTTTCTTGATCTTCCTGTCTCAGCCTCCTGAACTGCCAGGACTACCGGTGTGTGACACAGCACCTGACCTCATTTATCTTTTAACATGAAACTCCTAGTAGTAACTGTGATGAAATATAAAGGCAGTTAATAAATACGTGGAACAGAGTATTAGGTAAGGGCAAGGAAGAAACTTCATAAGGAGGTCTCCCATTGATGACTAATCCATCATCTCTCAATAGACTACCCTGGCCATGTTAAAGACATTCCCCCCCACCCCTTTGAGGGCTGGATGACAGAAGTAGCTTAAAATGAGGGTGTATGTAGTTTGAAAAACACTGTTCAATGCCAGAACACATTCAGCCTGCTCAACACTTGGAAGAGGCACTGTGGGACCAGAATGCCAGAAGAAACAGGAATTCACAGTTCCCAGCTTATATTTATGTTGGAGCATCTGTCATGCCAAACATTTGTGGTGAATTGTGTAAGTGCAATACATTTCTACTGTATCATGCATGTGTGTGTTGTTGGCAACTGTAACTATAAAAGGAGATACCACCATCTTTTGTATTTAAAAATAACAGCTTAGGGCTTGGAGATACATGAGTGCTTATTACAATGAAAGAAACTAAATGCAAATGGATTTAAGGGCAATTTAATTTAGAGAACAGAAATTCAGTATAATGTATGTAACCAGTCTGGACATGTTTTAAAAAGGTTAGATGCCACTTTATCACCTGTCAAATTGGCACATATTTTTTAAAATGACAAAATCATTTTTTATGAGGACGAAATGGAATGGATATTCTTGTAAACTGATCACCGGAATATAAACTGGCATCAACTTAAACATTTGACATTTGGGTGAGTGTGCATGTGTCTCAGAGTGGTTTTCAGACTCGGATCCTGCAATTCCATTACTAAGAATTTATCCCAAGATTTGCATTCAAGAGACTTCACTGCAGCCTGCTAACAGCAGGAAAATACAAATAGCTAAAATACATTCCATTTGCAAAGTTAAATATTATTTTTTAATGTATTCTGATGATCCAAGAAACACAATATAGTAATAAAAGACAATAAATTCTTTTAGGTAGATGTCATATTGGAGTCATGTTTGTCTGTATCTGGAATTATAGGTGATTTTTATCTTCAGAATTTAAAAATTATATTTTTTGCTCCCTTAAGTTTTCAAATGGAGGAATAAAATATATTTAAGATGTTTAAAGTATAGATTTTAAATGTCCAGCACAAAAACTATATATATACACACATCCTGCTGAAGTTTTGTGCATCAGATAAATATGGAATGCAGACTGTATTGTGTCTGGCATAATTTGTACAACCTAATCTTCATGAGATTCAAGTATTTTTGCATGGATTGCTCAGTAAGTTTTGCAATTATTATTATTTTGGGGGGTAGAAGTACTGGGGATTGAACCCAGAGGTGTGTAATCACTGATCTATATCCCCAGCTGGTTTCATATTTTTATTTTGAGACAGAATTTCACTAAGTTGCTTAGGGCCTTGCTAAATTACTGAGGATGGCCTTGAACTTGCAATTCTTCTGAGACTAGAAATGTGCATAACCATACCCAGTTCATTTTTTTCATCTTTCTTGCTCTGATATGTTTCATTGAATGAATATACCCCTATGCATTTATCCATATTCCTGCTAACAGAAATTCTTATACATACCTTCAGATCAACAAATGCCCTTCTTTCCCTGTAACACAGCTAGGAAAAGCATTACTAGGTTGTAGAGTTGGTGTGTATATTTGACTTAGATGTTTCCACTTTTCTTTAGCTAGTCTAGCTTCCTTTATCAGGAGAGTGATCACCACCCTAAGCCAATCTCTTACTTTCATGTTATTTGTTTATCATGACTCACTGAAGAATATCTGGACCAATCTTCACCTTTTGGTGTTTTTCTCCAAAAACTTGTCACAGCAACACACTCCACCAAAATCACACTCATGAATTTCTGTTCATTTCTGCTTCTCTATTCTGAGAATCCAGTGCAGAAATGACTCCAATAACTTCAGATTTACTTTTGTTTGAGTTTTGGCACTAATTCATTTACTTTAGAATCCAAATCTATTGGAAAAAAACTCGAGAGTCTTGTCTCTTAAAAAACTTTTATTAGGTGTTGCTAGATGACGTTGTACGATGTATCGCACACATCCTGTAGTAAATGGCACTCACAGTAATCCACACGACAGCTCATACAGTGACAGTCACAGCTGATTCCCCTTATAGTTTTCATCCATGTAGAGTGAGCATCATTAGATTTTTCCATGAGATCTGATCTCAGACTCAAGATTACCCTCCCATCTTAAAATAACCAACCAAAAATAATTAAAAAAACAAACAAACAAACAAAAAAAAAAAACAAAAGCCCAGCCACAACAAAAGGCTATAGGGAAATTACCAAAAGTCTATAATTAGATTCTACAAGAATATCACAAGGTATTCATCTTTTCAAAGATGTGTCCCTAAAATTTATATGATCTGACACTTGGGTTGCTTTTACCACCAGCAGCAAGTGAGATAGTACTTCTATAAAGGAGCAGTACACTGACACATATCCACTGAAAATTCTTGAGGTAATAGATTTTTTAATTTCACTGTTTAAAAAAAAAAATCTGCTAATTTCCAGGTCCTGTCCAGCAGGACCTATCTGTTGGATAGGAAGATTCTTTTCTATTTTTTTCTTTGTCAAATATTTACACATATTTGCATATACAACCTGTGTCTTTGTCTTTTCTAAACACATGGTTTATTTTATTCATTCATCATACATTCATCAGGAAAAGCTGAATTACATACTATGGTACATAAAGAATACAACAAAACCAGCATTTTGTATAAAGCAAAACAAAAGACATAGACCAAGAAGAGCAAAATAATATATTAAACATAATTGCTTGATGTCGATAAAGCCCACAGTGAATGAACAGCAACATGAATTTGTGAATCTCATGGTTATCCAACATCTGTATGGAAATTTATTACTAATAAAATATCTCCGAAGACACTTTGTAGAGAAATGATCAAATTCCTGAAGTAGCATATACTTTGTTTTATTTTTAATGCTTTTGTCCTAGTTTGAGCTATAGATTTACCTGACAGTCATTCCAATTCCTGTTTTAAACTTAATTAGTATTCTTTTTTGTGGTTTAAAATACACTTCAAGTTTAATGGCTTGAATTTCTGGTACTTAATATTCATTTCATACTTTCTTTTAAAAATGAACAATGAGTTTAAGAAAAATGCAATGGCTAATTTGCTGTTCTAGACATAATACAGTAGATTATGGTAGCAAATACAGGCTATATACATCCCTAAAGAGATACTATCTCATTAGCACTTTTAAAATAAAGGGACCAAAGAACACTCACAAAAAAATAGATATGGCTCTTTAGATAAGAAATAAAGTCAAGTGAAAAAAAAATAAGGCACTAATAACATATATAAATGTTATATACCCATCACATAAAGCACCATATGGAAGGTTAAAGGGACTATACATTAGTGCTATTGAAAAAAAGGAATTAGCCCAATTTCCCTGGCTTTTCTTCACCCAGTTTCCTCCTTTCTTTTCTGTAATCAGTGTAGACACACTAAGGTGGTGAGAAAATTATATACTATGCAAAATTAATGGAACCAACAACACAAAATAATCATTTGGAAATAAGAAGTTGATTGCTCTAGCAATGTAAGAAATTTTTCCTTTTAAATTATCCTTATTTTCCAATATTTTTAGCTCAGTAGAATTTGCTTTCTCCTTTCTAATTTATTTTCAAGGATTTCTACATAAGAATATTGTCCATTTGCTTATTTTATTTTTACCTGTCTTTTTCCTAAAATACATTCAAAATTTTTTTTCAAATAGTTTTATGAATACCAAACTTAGTAGTATAACTAATGAAAATCAGAAACAGTTAATAATTAAAGAAACATTTTTTCAATCAGGCTCATTTTAAACATAAATATATTATGACATATTTTCAGAAAATGACTACAAATTTTAAAGAAAACTTTAAGCAATATAATAAAAAGGATAAAATCTGGCACAAGCTACTACTGGAAGTCACTCACCTTAAATTTAAAAATTTTCATTTGATACTGTTAATGAGAATATAACTAAAATGAAATATATTCTGATATTTAAATAGGAGATGCAAATTAGTTTTTAGAACTTCAATTTCTGAATATACAGGAATAACAAATTAAAAACCCCAATGTTTCTTTTTAGCATTTTATACTCTTCATAAAAAAGGAAAATGTGAATTATGTACTTGTCCTACAGTTTTGCTATACATCTATATTAATAGATATGAATATATCTGTTTCATAAAAATGTTTGTTTAAAATAGAAACAAAACAATTCTCATGGCTTCTTAATAAATAATATTAACATAGTCACATTTTAATGTTGCAGTTTTTGTGTTTCTTCTACACAAAATTATTTCTGTGGCCTTATGAAGTTGAATTATTATTATATGTTCATAACTGCTTTCTGAAGCAATAAGATTGTCAATTAAATTTCACATTAAAAACCTGTAACAGATTGTCCTTAATAAGGTAAATGGTAATATATATAAATCAATTACTGTTTTAAGTTTCATATGAAATATAAGTTTTGTCTATTTTTAAAAATATTATCTATAGATTAATTGTGATGAAAATGATCAAATAATAAAAGTAAGCTATTGAGGGGAATTTTTAAAAAAAATGGAATATGGAATTTCAAAAAGAGGGGTCTTTAGAAAATAGTCAGCTGATAAAAAATCATGATACTTGATCAAAAATTTCTTTAGAAAGATAAAGCATGCTAATTTATATATTGAAAAATTTAGATTGTGTATGTCAGATATTTAGATACTATTTCCTTGAAATAAACAAAATATAATTGAATATAGAGGAAGTAAGATGTTAACAAATAGCAGTTTTTTAAAAATATTTGACTGGATTATTTTGAGAATATTTCCCTAGCTGGGCATGATAGGAAGATCTCCCAAATTTGCAGAGAACTGATGACTGAGAGAACACATGCCAGCTACAAGGAAGAACATGATTTCCATAATTTCTGGGGCCATTTACAACTAACTTTGACTCTCCCTTGAATTTTTTTTTGTTATGTACTAAACCTATATGAAATACAGTTTGAGTGTGGCTTATGTCTATGAAAAAGTTGAACATTTGCAATGACAAATGGTTTCTAAACCATTCATTTAAGGTCATCTATTTTGGAGTATCAAAAATCTAATAATGTTCACAGTATGAATCAATGTTTGAGTCTTACAGACAAATGCTGCACTATATAAATCCCCCACAAGTCCAAGCTGGAGGCCCTTTGGTTGAAACAAAGACCAATGGCCATAACTTTAACCATAACCTGTTTTGGATGAAGGATAAATGACTTGGGTTCAGGTTGGATGAATGTCTACACATACTTTCTAGCCAACTGATGTGCAAAGACAATGCTGATCTTAGGATAATGTAAAACAATTTTTGAGGCTTTGTTCTAGAGTATTATTAAGCTTTCTGGTCCAACCAATCTCTTCTCATTTGTTTGATTTACTTTTTGGCAGAGAGCTAGGTGGAAGTTCTTCAACTTCATCAAGAGGTGGGAAGAGTGTCCCAGGCACTCCTGGATATATTTCAATTTACGGATAAAATTAAGCAATATAAATTATGCTCATTACCAGAGTTAAATTGTATAGACTTTTAAGAGTAGAATTTTTATTTCATCAGAGTGAAATGAGTTAGAGGTGAGAGAATTTATTCAATACTTGGTCATCAGGGAAGGTAACTGCTGAGGCAAAAAGCGAGATTAATCAGGAAATCTAAGAGATAGGTGATGTTTGAAATAGATGGGTATCACTGCCCAGTCAGGTAAGAAAGTCATGTAATTAGTCATGATGGAACAGTGAAAGAAATGTGGCGCATGATTGAAAACAAAGAAATATTTTCTATGTTAATGAGTCTGCATAATCTAAGTGATGTGTAAGAGTTAAAACTAATAAAAATCCTTTTATAGGTATAAGAAAATGGCAAAAAGTGTGGGATAGTGACAATGTCTTGTGTATTTTTAAAAAATAATTTACCATATTTTAAAATTTAGGTCCATATAGTTACTCTTAAAAATGTCACTTCTTTAGTCAAAAGGAAAAATAAAGAATATCGTTTCTAGTATGCATAATTACATGCTTCTATAATTGGCAATATGTATAGGGGACCGTAGGGTAGGTGGTAGGTTCAGTTTGGATAAGCATATGACCCATTGAAAAGATTCACATTAAGGCCTATGCATATGTAGCTTCCTTGTAAAATCTACGATGGCTTTTGATGTGAATTTTCTTTTCTTTTCTGTTTTTTGTACTAATGTGATTTAGGCCACTATATTTTTTTTTTCATCAGTATAAATTTAATAGGCAGCATAAAAGTCTAATGTTAAAAACAACTGCATTTGTTTAACAAAGGAGAATTCATTTAACATGGGATGTCTTGTCGATCGATGCCTTCCAGTGTGACAAAGGTCAGTCAGAAATGCTGATGCTCTGCACAGGCCAGAGAACTTTTCACCTCTTCTGTTTCTTCTCGTTTCTTTTGGCAAAGAGGAGTAGTTAAAATAGCAGAGGTGTAAATGTATGATATGTCAAGATCATTGTATTGTCTTGAGCAACTAATAAAAAAAAATAGCAGAGGTGTGGAGGAAAACAAGGTTGGAAAAGGTAAAGGAACTGAAAAAGACTGCAGCAGTTTACAGGTATTTTATGGGAGCAGTGGGTCTTATATTTGGGTGGTGGAATTGAAAAACAGAGTCTCAGAGAGGGCCTGGAGGTTCATGAGATGGTGTCACAGAGCAAGGAGTTTCCTGATAGGCACCACTGAATCTTGATCCCACAGCAGAGAAAGTACAATTGAAGATATCATGTTGTAACCAGACTGGTGTTTAATTACCTCGTATCATTTTCCTGTCTGTTCTAGTCTTAGGACACAATAGCACCTATCACTAAATCACGGTGGTGGCAATAGGAGGTTGCTTGTACCAGGGGTTGGCCTCTTTCCTCTTCCTACTCCACGTACAGAAATCTCTAGGGCACTGTTGTGATTCATTGTAAAGTGAGAGTTCCCTGTTATTCTATGATTTATTCTCATTCCACCAAACCTTACATAATGTAATTTATTTTTCTATGGATTATTGTGGGCATTTGTAATTACTGACGTACTGTTTTCTACTTTTCACATGGAATAATTAAATTTCTCTGTGAAATCACGTGCGTAAATATAGATAGTGTTTAAAAAAAATGTGACAAACATCATCAGTTTGGTTTGAATATTTCATTTAAATCTCTCAAGTTTAAACCAGGCAATTCAAAAATCTTTCTCATGTTATCTGACAGACAGTTCATCACATTTTATTATTATTGGAAAAAGATTAATTTTCACTAAGTTTTGGTAAGGCAATTATTTGGCTAATCAAGCAGGGAAGAAATTATCGTTCAAAAGATGTTTTCTTTAAAAATTCTGCACTCCTGGTTAATATTTCTTTTACTCAAAAAATTTTTCAAATACATTATTTCTCATTTCCTGAAAATGCACTGAAATTTTTATTATAAATATCCTATAAAAATCAAAATTTAAAACTATGGAAATGTTCATGCATGATGACAAAAATATATGCCAAAGGATTTTCACTAATGCTTTGTAACAGGGAAGTAGAAACAATCTTGATGTCCATTCAATAGGAAACTAATTCAATTAAAGTATAGCCCCACAATGGATTATGTAGTAATTTATAAAAGAATGAGGTAAATATATGTATATATATATATATATATATATATATATATATATATATATATATAAACTCTTATGGAAAGATATCTACCAATATATAATAAAATGAAAAAGTCACAGCAAAGAAATAATATTATTATTCTATTTATATAAAATACATGCATGCACATGTATACACACACACACACACACACACTCATACACCCCTCCCCACACGGTTATTTGTAAATTTGTAGAAAGTGTCTTGAAGGACACATACCAAAGCATTAACAGTGGTTACCCCTTGTAAATTAGGGTGTGGTAAGCAGAGGAATTTGTGTTTTATAATTCTATATGATTTGATTTTTAAAGGAGAATATATTAAATTTATAATAAAAACATATAAAAATGTCCAGCCTTTGATAGAAAGATACTTATTTAATGTGCACACTTCTTTTTCTAAAGTAGTTTTCAGAATTTATTGTAAAGATTACTACTATTGTTTTACCTTCAAAGTTGGCACTGACATATAAAGAATCCTTTTTATTTTCTTCTTTCTGTGTAAGATTTTGAAATTTAGTTTTTAAAAAATCACAAATAATTACTTTATGTTTCAGGGAAAAGCCTAATATGTATCCACCTTTAAAGAGAAAAATGCATTCATTTATTTTAAAAATCTATGCAATAGAAAAATGAAATCCTGTGCAATACAGTGCACACTGTCTCAGCAATGAAGAAACAGCCTTCACTGATAACAGACACTACTTTGTAACTGGCATACTGGAAAGTTTTCCAAATCATATGAAAATACCTCAAAAGATAAGTTATTTAAAGAAAGGAATAAAAATCCCTGAGTAAGCCAAAGACAACAGATACAATGACCTAAGAAAATAGATGATTTATGACCAGAGAATATATTTTTCAACTATTTGGTGGAGATATATATATATATATATCTCCTCTATATTTAGAATTCATCATAGTCACACATTGCCAAACTGATGCCTAAGTCCTGGAAAGATGAATTTAAAAAACTTGAGCACTTTTATGTCAGAGCCATGTATTTGGGCTAGAGAGTCTCCTTCTCCCTAACTAATACTAGAGCACCTAAAACAGACAGTCAATAAATACCTGTCAAATGGTTGGATGGGTGAATGGAAAGATGAATTTGTGAAACTAGAGCATCACTTTTTCTTGTCTCATGTTATGCTTTAAGATACACTACTCTAGAATCACAAATGTCACAATCGCCTTCAACAGAAAATAGATGAGTCCAAAAACCCAACAGCTATTCTGAATTATTCAGAAAAAAAATGCAAGCTTGCTGCCCTTTCACCCATGAGCTAAACAAAAATGGTAAAATGTCTTACACTCTGGAGCCCAATAAATACCAACCATCTATTTCAAGTTATATAAGTTTGCTGATACATAAATGCTACATCCATGGCAGATAGATAATTTTGAGAATTTAGAGACAAGTAAAAAAACCTTAGGCTTCTTAGAAGTCTTTTCTGCCTTTCTGCTGATAACAGACACTACTGTTCATGATGGTAACAAATGAATATACTAATTAATTGTCCTTCTCTTATTTTCAAAGATTTCTCCTCTGAGAAAAACTTTCTGAAAATACTTTCTTCATTTTTTGGTTTCCTTCTCCAAAAATAGCTGTTTTTTTTTAGATGAACATATGAACATGAACGTTTTGTTTTCAAGTAACCCCTCTATAAGAAAATACCAACAAAGCATTATGCATTTGAGCATTAATTGAGAAATCCTTTCAAACTAGTATGTTTTCATGAAAAACTTGAGGACAAATAAAAACAAATAGGAAGAGAAGATAGGGAAGACAGTGGAGATTAAAAATTCAAAACCTTGATCTAAAACAAATGATCTATCATCACAAGTTGGTAATTAAAAAAATAGTGGAATATGGAATTTGTTTAAAGACTTAAGTAATTCTCTTACTAATAAACTTGTTCTTTGGGTTAAATAATCTCACATGAAGGATTTATCCAAGAGTAAAGCACGTGTGCTATAATGGAAGAAATTGAAAAGACTGAATATTTGGGTCTTGAGGACTTACTAAAAGCAACCTATTAGTTTTGTCAGTTTACAAAGTCCAATACACATCAGGATGACCATTGCACAAATTTTTCTGTGTGTGACAGAAAGAGAGAGCAAGAAATAGAAAGGGTCAACATCAAAATAGCCTGTTGTCTACATTGACTTTAATTCAATATGTTAGCAAATTATGCCCACAAAAGAACTATCATCTCTAAACAGGTCTAAGAAAATGTGAAGAAAAAAAAATAGTGTAGAGGCATGGAAATAGATACGCACAAGGTTACTGGGCCTAGTTTTAACATATATTTATATATACACATTCACACTCCTACACATATACACTTCATTAACTCATAATTCTTCTCATTAATTTAGTTTCATTATTTCCCTTTTGGGCACTGAGAGTTTTAGCAATTACAGTATCTGAAAGATAAAGGAATTACACTGTTTGAGTCACAGATGAAAACAGATGCCATCAGTGAACTTGTATCTTCTGAAAAGTGACCTTGCTTATTGGGACAGACAGGACCTTAGCTATTCACACCAAGTCCCACAGATAGGCTGGAGGGAGGTTTAGGGTTCAAAGACAATCCAAGCAATGCTCAGAAGAGGCACCCTCAGAACAATTCTGAGGAAAACCAGTCCTTAGTTAAAATATTTTCTTCCAAGAAACACAAAGGTCAGAGATATGATACAGATGTTTATAGTTTATGAAAGTGACCATTTTTTTTTAAAGCAGCAATTTGTTTAGGGTAAGGACAGGATACCATATTGGGAGTGCACCGGTAGCCAGAGGCATTGTGGCTTGCAGAGAGCCATGGGGAGACGAGATGCAGAAGGTTCCTCGCAGTGTTTTCAGGGTAGAACTCACAGATGGTGTGCCATCTTGCACAGCTCCTCCTGGGACCAGCTTAGTGGGGTGAGATCACCTGCATTTTACCAATGCATACCTGTCCTTGATCGCTTTCTCTGTTTCTTACAAAGGCAATAGATAGGAAATACAAATAAACCTAGGGATTAAAAAAACATAAAGGCAATTAGGGGGAGACACATTTTGGTTTCTTTGAAAATTTTCCCTTTCATTTATTTGCATACTCTTTAGAAATAATCATTTTTTTAGCAATACATGGACATGAAAAGAGAGAAGATACCTATGCTATGAAATGTTTATTATTATTTAATTCTTTATTATTTCTCTTTAGCTCTTTCTGCCTTTTAACATTCTCAGTGATATAGTTTCACTAGGGAACAATACTTTCTATCAAAATATCAAACCTTAGGTTTAAATCTTAATTATCCATAGTCGAATCATTTCTACACTATGACAGTCACATTTCAGTTTCAAGTAGTACAACATCTTATTTAAGAACACCTTGTGCAGCCAGATATCAGATGTGACTCCCAGTTTTAGGACTAAGAAGGTCTTAGTGAGCCTTAATTTTCTCAAATGTAAAATGTAGATAATAAATAATTACCTCATCCAGTCCTGACTTACTGCAGTAACTGAAATTTTTATTTGGAAAGTAATACATGTGCAGGACAGATAGAATTAGACAGATCTAATTCTATCTGTCCTGCACATGTATTACTTTCCAAATAAAAATTTATGTATGAAAAATAATTTTATTTAGCAAAATTAAATAATTACAATTAATAAACAATTAATAAAGCAGCCTTTATCACAGTGTTTAACTTAATCTTTTATAAAGCAATGGTTCTCAAAGTGTGATCCTTGGACCAATAGTATTAACATCACTTGGAAACATTTTAAAATAAAAAATCTATGGGCTGTGCCTCCATACTCAGTCAGAAGTTGCAGGTAGAAACAATCAATCTATGTTTTAGCTAGTCCTTCTGGTTATTTTAAGACTTGGTAAAGTCTGGAAACTATTGGTTTAAGGTGCATACTTTAATATACTTGTATGAATGAAACTATACAAATCATTAATAGGTTTTCTATTTGTCCATGCTCAAGTAGATGTTGATATGTTCCTGTATACATGGAAGGCATTTTTTACTAGGCCAAACCAAACACCTACTAAACACCAAAGCCTCTTTTCTTTAATGCTCCAAATTGAAATCAGAATTGGAGAACTTTAAGTCTAGTTCACCTGACTCTTTCACTAAAACACAATTGCATCCTTGGCATTAAGAGGAACCAATAATGAATCCAAGTGTTCAAAGACTGAAAAACTGTCACACAAATATATCATACGAGAAACATGATACTCTGGATTTAGAAGTCACATGCTGAGTAGCTGTCTAAAATAGGCATGGAACAGAAATTATGGCCACTAACAGCTGACTCACGTTATTACATTTACACTCATTTTGTCTCCATTGTCATGTGAAAATTCTAATCTCAGACATGATAAGTGTTTCTTACCAATTACAACTGCTATGGCCCCTAGTGCTAATCCCAAGACCAGGATTAGAGGTGCAACGAATAATTTTCCAGCTGGAAAACAAAAAGCAAAATAATTTAGTATCTAAAAGCTAACTTTCCAAACACTTCCAGCAATGCTTTTAAATATCTCAGTGCAGGTTATTTTTAAAGAAGTCTGATGACAATTAAGACCTTATTTTCCTAAGAAATACACAAGGTGTAGAACAGCTAATGAACAAATAAGTTCATCATGGATGTCCTGGGCAATCTGTGTCAAACATCTCAGAAATCATTTATCTTTCAAAATAACAACAAAAACAAATCTAAACCAACTGGTTCACTTTATACTTCCAAGGCCATCCATCTTTGTGTTTTCCTTTGGATATTTTCCATTTTCAAGATGCTGAAAGATTAAGAAAGGAGTGACACGTTCTGAGTTGGTAGGAGAAAATCCAGTTATTATTTCACAAATGAAGAGCTGGTAGAGACTACAGAGAAATTCCACCTAAGACCACATCTGAAAAAAAAAGTGGTTTATTTATTTCCTGAGTCCAGAGAAAATTAATAATATGACCTAATAGAATGAATGACAAATGGAATGTTGGTAAGATTCCTCTTAAGGAAAATTACCCATAAAAATCATGTTTGGAATAATTCAAGTAAATAATTTTTAAAAATTTAAAAAGTACGGCGCTTATAATATAAAAAAGGCTACATGCTGGTAGGGTACTGCGTCTGGCAGCATCAGCCAGTATTTTCTCTCTAGATGAATAATTTATCAGTGGTAATGATCAGTATAGTCATATGTGAACACAGAACAAAATCCACAATGGGAACCCCACTGACTTTGAAAGAAACTAGCGCACACAAAATAGGCCAGAAAACAGTGTCTGCTCATTCCGTAGCACATGGGTTAGGGCACGTGGCACAGTTGTACAGCTGCAAAACTCCAATGTGGTAGGAGAAGTGAAAGAGGAGAAAAATCTGCAGGAGGATCATACAGCTGTTTAAGAATGAAATAGCAATAGCATCCTATAAACAAGGAACAGTAAGTTCTTTGTTTTAATCACCAATTACACACAAAAGAGAAAGACTATGCAGCTACTGTTTAGAAATCTTACAGAAAAAAAAAATTAACTTATTTTTTAGAAATGGTCTGTGGAACCAGATGACCAGAAGTATATGGAACATAGCTTTCAATATCTCATTTTAAAAGATAGTTTTAATAACTGTAATGATTAATTTGAATTGTCAACTTGATTGGATCAAGAGAGGACGGATATTAAGAAATTTATGGGTGTGGAATGAGGGTGTGTCTAGGAATGATTTGCATGTGGGATAGCCAACTGAAATGTAGACTATCCCTAATCATGGGCAGCATTGTTTAGGATGATGGCTTGGGGGGAATAAAAGTTGGAAGAACAAGGAAACAGCAGATGCCAGCTCCATTCTTCTGGAATGGGTTCTTGATAGCAATTGTCTTAAGATATTGGACTCCTGCTACTTTACTCTTCCAAAGCAGACTCTGATAGTGATTCTCTCCCGAAACGCGGTTGATCCCTCTTGTACTGGGGCTCCAGCCTCTTGGACTGTGCAGCTACTGATTCTTCCAGCTCTACAGCCTGCAGAGTGCCACTGTGGAGTATCACCAGCTTTGGGTCCCGCTTTTATAATTATACTTCCTGTTCATTCTGTTCCTCTAGAGAACCCTAATACAATATGTAATTAATATTAACGCAATGTCTAACATGAGTTTTTTTCTTTTTTATTTGTTCTAATTAGCTATACATTACAGTAGACTGCATTTTGACACATCATACATAAATGGAGTATAATCTCTCATTCTTCTGGCTGTACATAATGTAGAATTACACTCGTCATATAATCATATATGCACATGGGGTAATAATGTCCAATTCATTCCACTGTCCTTCCTATCCTCCTGACCCCTCCTCTCCCTTCACTCCCCTCTGTCTGATACAAAGTACCTCTATTCTTCCCTAGGTGCCTGCTTATTGTGAATTAGTATCTGCATGTCAGAGAAAATATTTGACCTTTGTTTCTTTGGGATTGTCTTATTTTGTTTAGCATGATATTCTCCAGCTCCATCCATTTACCAGAAAATGCCATACTTTCATTCTTCTTTAAGGATGAATAATATTCCATTTTATGTGTGTGTGTATATGTATACACATCACATTTTTTTAACCCATTCTTCTGTTGAAGGACACCTAGTTTGGTTTAGCTATTATGAATTGAGCTGTTATAAACATTGATGTAGCTACGTCACTATAATATGTTGATTTTAAGTCCTTTGGGTATAAACTTAGGAGTGGGATATTTGGGTCAAATGATGGCTCCATTCTAAGTTTTCTGAGGAATCTCCATACTACCTTTCATAGTGGTTGCACTAATTTGAAGCCTCACTATCAATGTATGATTGGACCTTTTCCCCCACATCATCGCCAAAATTTTTTGTTGCTTGTATTCTTGATAATTGCCATTCTGCCTGGAGTGAGGTAAAATCTCAGTGTAGTTGTGATTTGCATTTCTCTAATTGCTACAGATGTTGGATGATTTTTCATATATTTTTTGATCAAATGTATGTCTTCTGTGAAGTGTCTGTTCAATTCCTTAGCCCATTTATTGGCTGGGTTGTCGAATTCCACCATCAAACACTCAAGGTCACTCCAGGTGAACTGGGATACACGAAGCAACCACACAGAGACAGAGAAATATCTTTTTCTTTAGGTCCTGTGATGGCTCCTCTAAACTTAAGGGTCTGTGGAGAGAGAAAGAGAGAAAGAGAGAGAGAGAGAGAGAGAGAGAGAGAGAGAGAGAGAGAGAGAGAGAGAGAGAGAGAGAGAGAAAGAAAAAGAAGAAGAAGAAGGAGGAGGAGGAGGACGAGGAGGAGGAGAAGAAGAAGAAGAAGAAGAAGAAGAAGAACAAGAAGAAGAACAACAACAACAACAACAACATCAACAACAAGAACAAGAACCCTTTTATTGGGAAGAAGCCATTCAAATGAGGCAAGGGTCAGGTTTCAGGGGAGTTGAGTCTAACTTTATGATGTGATGTCTGCTGTCATCAGATTGACTGACATCTAGGAAGGCCAAGCCCAAAGGCAGAGCAAGAGAAGGGGACAAACTAAGGGATTTTCCATGAAACATTCTTATCCCAAACAGGGCAAAGGGGTAGGGTTACAAAGGAATAGGTGAGTGTAGCTCAACCCCTCTGGGTGCTGCCTACTCCTAGGGCCACACCTTGTTAGCACTGTTATCCAAGCGAGGAAAAAGACCAAGTCATGAGTCATGGCACTACCACTCCAAACTACATTGATCTTTCAGATCTGCTTGGTGCATTAGGACTTAAAGGTGCATGCATTTGGAGTGAGTCCCCACACTGGGTTATATTATTATTATTATTATTATTATTATTATTATTATTATTATTATTATTTTAACCATGAGTTTTACTAATTTTTCACCAGTGACATAAATCAGTTAAATAATACAAAAGCCCACTGAATGGTGGTGACCTTTGTATATTCTTAGAGCTATGGTTAAAAGTTGGAATTTCAGAATCTAGGACTGCATATTTTAAAATACCCTGTTTGTCTCCTATGCACATAACTCAGTCTTTTCTTTCAAACTTCCTCTAAAAATAATTATCAATATATTTTCATCACAGTAATGGAGCATGACTATAAAGAAAAGTCACTGATGTTTTGTCTTTCAAATCACAGACATCAAGGAACATGTGCTCCCTCCCTATGGGGTGAAATAAGCTTATTCTAAGGATGATCCACATTTAAACTTAGTATTCCTATTTCTGAAAATGTCTGGAGGGAGTGAATACACTTTTTCTTATTCCTCGGATAGTAACACATTTTTAAAAAATACCATTTTCAGTAGCTGAAGTAATATTGTACATACACTCAATTATTCATATGCCTATAATTTAATTTTGCCTAATTATGTGTTCCTTTTTTGCTATTAAACATTCTACTTGAACATAAACTATTAAAGTTGATCATGTTTTAAAATCTTTCACATTACTATCAAATTTCTTTGCAAAAGAATGATACATTTTGATATTTTGTCCATCATAGATTTTTAAATACTAATTGTGATTTTTAAAAAATTGCATTAAAATATTATTCATTTTGAAAAAAAAAGAATGGTATAAAATTTCCAATTTGCTCAGTACAGTATGAAATTTCAGCATTGAGTGGTAATTTTACAAAGTATTGGATAATCAAGAGTCCCAAATATCTCATTTTATTTTAATTTATATTTTTCTACCAATAACACTGAAAATTTCCTTCCTTTCCCCTTCCCTTCCCCCTCCCTCTCCTTCTTCTCCTTCTCTTCTCCTCCCCCTTCTCCTCCTTCTCCTTCTCCTTCTTCTTCTTTTTCGTACTGTGGATTGACTCCAGGGATATTTTATCACTGAGCTACATACCTAGCTTTTTTTATTTTTTATTTTAAGAGACGGTCTCACTAAGTTGTTTATGGCCTCACTAAGTTGCTGAGGCTGGCCTCAAACTTGTGATCCTTGTCTTAGCCTCCCAAATCACTGGGATTATAGGCATGCACCACTGCTCCTGGATATACTGAATATTTTTGAACATTTTTTTGTCTATTCATACTTCTTTAATTCTGGTTCAACACTCTGTTGTCTTTTTTTTAAAAACTTGGGTATTTATTTTTGAAGGGGGGCCCATTGCTTTTGTTCATATAAACTGTCACCTAGAAATCACTTTAAACACTGATTTTTAAAAATTATATGATTTACTTAAAACCTTTAAATTTTTGGTATGAAATATTACAAGGATTTAAGATGTTTCCTTAAGCACTTTCATTTCTAGTACCTGAATTATCTGCCTATGCCCTACCATGCATTGGAGGCTGCTCATCATCCCCCTTCTTGTGAGTAGAACCTTTGGTTTCTAGCTGGGCAAATGGTAACGTGCAATGAACACCATATTTCTCATTCCTCAGATGTGGGAGGAATGCATGCCCTTCCTCGGCCTCTGACCAAGGACATGTGGAGGCTGTATCCAAGGCTGAGGGGCCAAGCTGTGTAACATTACACAAGAAGAGTGTCTGGAAGGGTTGACCTATAATTCATCATCTCTCTTGTATGGCAGGGAGTCAGTGATTTTGAGTCACAAGGTAATTCCTTTTCCTATTTTCATGGAGAGAGGTGAGGACTCCTCCATGAGAGTTAAAGTCAATAGCAGTTGAGGTTATTGTGCTGGGGTGGGAGAATACATGTTGGAGGGAAAGCTGATCTTAAGCCAGCTGCTCCCTATTTTGTCAGGTGTATCTTGACTTGGCTGCATGTACACACATGCATGTGAGCACACATGTGCACACACACAAGAAGAAGACCTAACAGAAAACCATTTACTGAAATCTGACCAAAAAAAAAAAAATTAAATAAGAAAACAGAAAAGGTACAGAGAAAATATTGTCTTGCTGACAATGTCTATGGTATTCTCTGCTCACTGTCCATTTCACAAGCTATAAGATAACTCAACCCAATTTTTGACCAGAGAAGATTCTCGGGGTGTCCAGGCAAATATCAAGAAGGCCCAAAGAGATATATCCTGAGAACTGCTGGAAAGATAGAACACGAAATAACTTCCTTCATTAAGAATGTCTAAAGAGAAAAAGAAAAAGGAAAGAAAAAAAAAAATGACTGGCCAAACCAAAGATATTTAAAATAAAGAATGGAAGGAAACATCTTACAACAATAAAATCTAAATGGCACTGAAATAGGATAAAAAAAGACTAACCAGGCTGAAAATATAAAGGTTTTGTATTTGGGACTGCTGTCTGTGTCTATAGACTTACAAATAGGATACTGCTCAATACTTTATTTGCAATTATTTTTCTCATAGTATTCATTATAAATAGGGGAGCTTCCTTATCTATCTCTAAAGGCTATATGACTAACCAGCAAATATAGCTGATATACCAATCAAGAAAATAAATAAACAAAAAAATTGCTGAAAATTACTAAAACTAATCTTGATTACTGGATGCTGTTGGCTCTGTAAAATTATGTTTAATTAAAATTTAGCATATTTCAATCATGTAAGATTTTAGACTTTTCCATGTTAAAGTGCATTTAAGGTGTATGTTCTTTTTCCCAACAGAAATCTGTCATTAGTACCAGCTTTGTTCTAGTCAGCCATCATGATTCCAAAAAAGGAAAGGGCGGTCACACACCAGTGTAGTGGCTAAGAATAGTTACAGAGAGATTTTCATGAAATCACTAAGCCAAACTAGATAGAAAAGGGTAAGTGTGGAAGATGTTGAAAAGTATCTTATGCACACAACAAGACTGCCAGAAATAATGTAGCACAACACTGTGAAAAGAGAGGAAGAAATCTCACAGTGGATACATTATAGAGGTGCAGGGAGCTAAGGGAAGACAACATATTAGGTCACAGGAATGAAGGTGGTGGCATTAGGCCAGGGGGGTTTGGTTACAGGCAGATATCAGCTTATGGGTGTGGGTGTGTAGAAGTCATGTGTGAGGCTGTGTGTTACTGAGGAAGAAGGGGTAGAAAGTCAGTCTACAAGAGCACTTATGCTTGCGTAATTAAACTTGGGTCTATATATAATGAGGACTTCTGAAACTCATTCCATTAACTGCTGGCTCTTAATTAGGAGTATGATAGGAAAACATATACAATGGCATCGATTATGAAGACATAATGGAACTCCATTACAGGGCTGTGAAACATGTGCTTCTTTCCGTCCTGCTAGACCATGTTCCATGCCGTACTGTACTGCAGTACTTCATCAATGAACAGAGGATGTGTGTAGATATTGTCCCTCTGATCAAGTGGCTTACACTAGGGCTTCAGAAATTTAAAAGGCTAATCACTTCAGTTTTCATCCATGTTATCAATGATTTGTTTTTCAAATAAAATCTGCTTACTCAAATAACTAATGTCCTGTTAAAAAATTAAAGTTTTCAATTTGGGGGGTTTTGTTTTGTGACAAGATCTTGCTAGGTTGCCCAGAAAGGCCTCCAATTCCTGGGCTCAAAAGATCCTTATGCCTCAGCCTCCTGAGTAGCTGGAACTATAGGTACGTGCCACTGCACCAAGTCGTTTTCAATTTTGTTCACAAAAGGAGAGAGAATATTCTCCTCTTGCTTTGAGGTAAAACCCTAGCTAGAATACCTGGCACACACAGCAAGTGCTCAGAATTATCATGGATATTCCAAGTTCTACAGCTTCATTCTGAGGGAAGATTCCCATAAGCTTGTCAGATACTCACCACAGACTGACCCTCTCACTAATCTCCTTAAATGAGGTCTCTCTGGGAGGTAGCGATATTTGCATCCAAATATACTGAGGTTTGATGTGTGGTCTCCAAAAAACCGGAGCTGGCGGTATCTCTCCCCACATCGATAACAAAAATTAGTGTTACACTGTGAACAGGTCATGTGGTCACATCCTTCAGTTCTCTGGATGTGGATCTGTATTGGAGAAAGAGGCAAAGAGAAGAAAAGATTTTCAAAGTTTTTAAAAAGTAAAATCTGGCAATTTTTATTGGAACACAGCTTTTACCAAAGTGGAAGTGTCACATGGCATCCCTTAGGCATCCAATTTAATTATAATAACACTCTGCAAGATTAATTTGTTACTAAATACTTTTGTATATGGAAACCTCAATAATTTTTCAGGTACTCAAGTTGTTGCCTTATTTTGATCAACATATAAACAAACACTGCCCATAGAAGATTCATTTGTCTTTCCAGGCACACATCTAACTCAGGGGACAAGAAAAAATTTAAAATGCTGTGAAAGTATTTTTTATCTTTTATTTTATGCTATGACCAGCAAGAATAAGGTGACTCAGAGGGAATAAGACAGGAGAGTTTTCCTTAAAATAAACGATTATGTAAAAATTTCTGTGAATAAATATCAAGGAGCAGAAATTTCTCTTTGCTCAAAGAAATTATAGCAAATACACATGTATATGCAATACCCTTTCACTATCTAATATTATTTGTAAATATGTTGTTCATAGGACAGTAAAATGCCTTCTGTGCAATTCAAACCTTCTCCTACTGTTGCAGTCAAGCTATGTGTAGCCACAGCTTCACCCATAATGTAACAAGGACATTATTTTTGGACAGTCCATATACTCAATGTGTAGTCACTGTCTTAAGCACTCCTCAGTACTTAAGATTATGTTATAATCAAGATATTGCTTTTTTTAGGTATAACTGGACTCTGAGTCCTCGTGGATCCTGTATCCATGGATCCTGGAGCCATCTTTTATTCAAATGTTACCCACTTTCCCTGTTAGGAGAAACATCATGAAAGAAACTCTAAATATACAACAATATTATTTCATCAAAAGACACATAATTTCTTTACTGCCTAACTCTCGTGAATAAAATGGGATCACCTAAAAATACAATTTCACCATAGAGTAGGCACTTACTACATTCAAGGGCCATCTTCACTCATTAATATATATTTGCAGTGGTAGCACTGGGTTCTCATTCCATTATATAAAATGAAATATACCACACACAAAAGTCATTTGCTTAGAAATTTCATTGCAATTGTTCCCATTACCATTTTTACTACTGTCAGCTTCTATCCATGATGTTGTTTTGGGATTTGTTTGTCAGTGAATGTTTTAATGCAATTGGGAACTTCACCCTTTATACCAGAGTCAAAACCTCCAGGAGTTATCTGGCTCCTGTCAGTAAAGCTTCAATCCCAATCTACAACATGACACACACATTTCATCTGAAATTATGCTCTCCTTCCCCTAGTGCACACTGCAGTTCTCTGAACTAGCAGAAATGGGGTTAGAATCACATTTTTAATAAGCTGGTCAGTGATGATAGAGACGGGATAAAATCATCCAGATAAAAGAGATCTCTGAAAAGAAAAAGCTGAGATATGAAAATGACTGCTCATTTCGAAACAAAACTTATTTTATAGGTGTGAGCATAAAAATTTTGGAAGTTGTTATCTGCAATCACATGCTGCATTTGTTTTGTGATTAAACTGCAATTTAAAGGAATTTTAAAAGGACTCATGAGACTAAAATAATAATGGATATCAAAATTTTATCTATCATATCCTAATCTACCTACCAATGAGTTTCTAGGTGAATCTGACAATTTTGAAGAATAAGTAAGTAGAGGGCAGCCTATTACAGGCAAGCACTGGACACATGGATAAATGAATGAACCACAAAAGAAAAGTCTGCCGAGTGGCCAGCAGGACCTCAGGTATCCAGAATTGTTTTGTGAATTGTAGGTTAACTGCCTGCTCTCTCCAGTGACTCTGGGCAGGTAAGTCTCAGCCCCACAGGAAGGCGGAAAGAACCTGGGATTTGACTTCCGGTGGCCTGTGGGTCAGTACTAGCTCATCTAGCTACTTAAAATGAAGTCACTTACTTACTTCCCCTGAGTCTCAGTTTTAGTGATATTCCTCTCATGAACCCATTGTTTGGCACACACAAGTCAGATCAGTATAAAGGGTTCTCATCTACCCTTTCTGCTTTATCTACCTAAACATGTAAGGAATCAAATAATTGGGTAATATAACTAGAGACCTCTTCCTTGCCAGGTGGTCTCTCTCCCTTTCTTGGACTGACACTGCACTACAGTACCTGCAGATAGGCAAGGTGTTTGTGGTCAAGGGTAAATGAACATTTGCGCTCAAGGATTACAAACAAATTATTATTTTGGCAACAAATACAAAAACTACATTTCTTGCTATTGGCCACCCTATTCCTTTATAGTCATACTGATTTTTTTTTTTTTTAATTTTATATGACAGTGCAGCTGTAGTGAATACAGGTTTTATGGGGCCTGAGGTTATTTAATTTCAGGGACCCTCTTTAAAGAAAAGAGTGCAATTACAAACAAAAATTAGATACGAGGCCAAAAATGGGGGCCGTGTAGGTAAGGGTCTCCAGAGCTCAAGCTTTTTAGCTTCCTAATAAAATAGCACTTTCCTAGTTGTGCCTGTTTATTAGTGAATGTGTGTCCATATCAATTCAGCACAGTAGATGGCATGAAGGTATAACCTAGGCCAAAGTTCTTCTGGACGCTTCAACCTTTCATGATTCTTTAAACCATCCTGGCACTAAGAAACACATCTGAAGATAATTGCTGTGCACCCCAAACATCTTACACTCAACTTTTTGATTATATTTTGCATTTGATCTTAAAATGGAAATGATACAACTTAAAGATTTCCTCATCAGACAGCAGTGTTGTATGGAGCCTATAAAGGAAGAGGACTGATATCTGTTTAGAGTTTATTTTGTGCCAAGCATCCTACATACAAAGATTAGCTCTTTAAACTGCACCATGAGATGGACATTCTTATTCTTAAAGGGAACTCAGAAAAGTGATTTGCTGAAATAACAATCCTAGTGAGTGGAGAAAAATTTAAAATTTCTTATGCTAAGCAACCTTTTATTGTGAAGTTAAAGGTAAAACCAGAGGGTCAAAATATTCTTTGCTAATCAACAGTGTAATCTTCACAGTAGAGGTTATGAGACAAATACGTCTGCTTTTCTAAGATTTTCTGCTTGTTTTTGCTGCTCTCTGGATCCACACTCTTCCTTCAAAATGGCATCAAAACTTTTTCTGATGGGAAACTTGTTCTTATAAGTTAAACTTGTCACTGATAGTATATATGCCTCAAAATTTTACATGCAGTTCTGTCATTTTATATCGGTTTATAATATTGCTTCACTGAGTTCTAAAATCTTTATGTGGCCTATTTATTATTCCATTTAAATACCCAAACTGCTATTTCTATTCTCTCTTTTAAGGTTTTTCCTTAGTACTAATATTGTTATTATATTATAATATTCTGAACATAGCATGAAACTAAAATATTATTGGTTCTACCACACAGGAATTGAAAAAGTAAGATCTAATAAGGATGTTCAGTAATTTTGTACACTGTAGGAATACATGGTTCTATAGGTTAATTTGAATATTTTACACACATAAAGGCAGGGATTTAATTGTGGAAAATGGTATCATGATTTACCAACTCTGAAGTACACAGTGCTTTCTTTAGTACTATTGTGGATTGAATATATCTTGATTATATATAAATATTTTATTATTTGATATCAATAGAGAAATGAACAGATACGACATCAGTTAGCATACAACAGAAAACACAACTTTTTACATTTGTTAAGCAAATTGCAATTTTGAAGTTCTGACACTTAGTGGGAAATAAATTTCACATGCTAATTGTGTTCCTTGGGTATATCTTTGAGTGGCATGCTTGTGACAATGCCATCTTTGTTTTTGAAACATAAAGCTTTAAAATAGATTAAAATTATATTCACATATGGTTCATTTTTTCCCCAATGAAGCTGACTTTATTTTTTTTGCTGTAGTTTCAAAACATTCATCAGCTTAACTCACTAAAAAATAAACTAATTACCCAAGTGACTACAATTCAGCATCAAAATTCTGTTTTTACTTAAAAGATGGAAATAGACTAGGTATTTCTAATTCATTAGCTTAAACTGAGTATTCAAAAGCCATGGATGTTATGTGTATGTGTGTGTGCACGCTACTGGGCATTGAAACCAGGGCCTTGCTCACATCAGGCAAGTACCCTGCCACTGAGTTGCACCCCCAGCCATCCCAAATGCTACTTGATTTGTTATTATACACACATTTTCTTCACTCCATCAGGATAAGGATGGCTACTTAAAGAACTGAATACTTATGACCAAAATGTTGCTGATACCTCTGTACACTTAACGTCATAAGATGAAATGTTCAGAATATGCCAGACATTTCTTCAGTAAGAGTCTGGTATTAAGTTCACATTGTAGTAGACACAAAAAGACACAACTGTTTATTTTTGTGCCTATGATATTCTTCATCCCGCAGACCAAAAACCAGTAATAAGAGATTAACCATTACATATATGAACATATATAAAATAGTACCAGTCTCCCTCAAGTTGTTTACATTTAGTTTAATAAAATGATCATATAGAATCTAAAAAATAAAAGTGGAATATAGTTCTTTATTTTCATAGAGATTCCACTTAATCAATGGGTGGAAGAAAATCTACAAGGGCCCAGATCATGCATATCTTTTTCACTCCTTAATAAAGGGCCTTGCATTGGTCCCAATACACAGCATATTCTCAATTACTACTTATTAAAAAAATAAATAAGCATTACCTAGGATCTCCCAACTCCCAAATTCAATGAACACACTTGTAATTTTTATTGTACTGCAGCTTCCAGTATTATTTAATCAGTCAATCATCACCCTTTCCAGACCTCTGATGGACTTGTGTTTTAGTGACATTGTTTTTCCAGGTTCTCTTCTGATCTCCTCCAGGTTGTTAGCCCTTCACCTATCCCTTATTCCCATCCACACCCATCACATTGCACAAGCTCCTTGGGTGATTGCTTCCACATTCACCTGGCTTTGACTCCCCTCCGCAGGAT